GGAAAGCCTGAAGGTGCACCTTAACAGAAAATCAAGCTAAAAATTTCCTTCTTGTTCCCTGCTTGTGTGACGCTGATGTAAAATGCTTCAGGCTATTTTCTACTGGAAGTCTTTAGAAATGCTAAGTGGATTTTGGGAAAATTGACTAATGTCGAGCTTCAAAATAATCAGGAGTTTTGTTTTGCTTGTTAGGAATTTTAATTATTTGCTTATACCTTATTGCTTTAAAGTCAGAACCTGTGACAACAAGAGCAGTCTGATTTAACTTTGTTGGTTTTCTTGAAGCTGAACATGTTAACACTTCCTAAGGATTAACCTGAGCAGAGGTTGATGGGGAAACTTGAGGCATGGCAACAGGCACGTACAGTCACTACATACACATATACCACCATGTTCTGCACAGAAGTAGTGTGACAGAGAAGACAGTATCAAGCAGAGCACTCAGTTTCATGTGACTCCTCCTTTAAAGGAGGGATGGAATTCATCATTGGGTGTCACAGCTTAAATGGAGAAAAGGGAATTGGAGAGTCAAAGATAACTGTTGGAAAGGAGTGGCTTCTTTGTGTTGCAGAAATGTGAGGATTATATTGCAGTGCTGTCTAGAGTACTGGTTAGCTATCTCGTTGATTGCAACTCTGAAATAGACATGGATATCTGTGCTAGTGAATTGCTTTCTCTTTCCTTTAAGGGAAGGTAGAGTCTGATCCAGTGAAGTTCAAAAGAAGTCCAGTCCTTTATGAGTTGAAGAATCAATATTTGGGGAAATGAGCACATGCAAGGCATGAACTGAGAAAGTGGGCATCTTTCAAGACTGTTTGGTAAATTTTTAGAAGGAATTTGTAGGCTTTATTAAAGGTACAGTTGGTGTCTTGCCTTAAGAGTTGCTATTCAGGCCTGGCCCAGAATCATACTAGATAAGAGTAGGGCGTATGGGAGAAACATGGCACATTTATTCTTGCTTGCAAAACTAATGGCTATTTGGTTAGAATTTAGAACTCTTACGGATTACAGATAGTCTGTATTCAGATTGACATGTTCTGTGGAGTTTATTTCTGGCTCAAACCTTTAACTAATATGTAGAAGACAGGTTAACAAAGTACTAACAGTTAACAGTACTAACAGTGCTCAGAGAGCACTGAGCAGAGATCTTGTAAACTGAAACTGCAGGAAGACTAGAAGGTAACATTAGTATAATAAAAAATCTAATACAGTAAAAATTACCTTCAAATATGCATATTCAGTTTCCCCAGTGAGAGATAATCGACACGGTGAAGTGCAGCCAGAACACAGGAGATGGAAAGACAGAAATGCTGGAGTTTGACTTCTGTTGAAAGTATTCTTAGTGAACCCTCCTGACATACATTCTCCTTCTCAAACAGTGATAACACTGCAGTATTCCTCACTGATATGTGTGCATTTTTCTAAAATGCCTATTTAATTTTGTGATCTAATATGAAAACAGTGTAGAGTAATGCATTTCTGAATTCCCGTGGAAGCATTCATAGGGCTGCCTGTGGAGCTTTGTAGCTTTATTTACAACTACAAAATTTGTGGTTCCCTCTGCCAAATATTTTGTATAAATGGGAAACATGCTTTTCCAAGAGGAGTGTTTTTTCTTTCGTGATTTTGACACCATATTTTTTCATTTTACAGACCTTATATAACCCATTTTAATAGTATGTTAGACACAGGAATTGAGAGGTGAAAGATTTGTTGGCAGTACATTGGCAATCATTATTTAGGAGATACAAAGAAGCAGGAAAAACATTGGTATAATTCCTTGGCCATCTTTTTCTGTTTAATAAATATTCAATTAAAAGAAAGAGATTTTGTTGAAAGCCATTCTATGCTCTAGACTATATTTACTGTTTATAGTCAATATACAGAAAGATTGATAATGTCAATCTGTATTTTTATTTGAGTCAAGCCTCTGAAAGCATTTGTTTTTCTAGATCTAACAGTCTTGAGCATCAATCTTATATGAAATGTGGATATGAATTGTCAGCCTCCTCAATTAAGCTTGCTAAATGAGCTCTGTATTAGTTGTTGGGCTTGCTCTTATTTAAAAAAAAAAAAAAAAAGAAAAAAGCAACAAACCTGGTTCGGTTAGAACATGGATTTAGTATATCTAATGTACATCCCTCTCTTTCTGCTCTTCTTCAAATATAAAAAGGAATTAACTGCTGCAGAGACATTTCAGTATGGAGAAGTTACAGGTTGATGCTTTAGATGCGTCCTACTGCCTGCTTTTATTTTCACTCTGGAAGCACAGAGAGGTTGCCAGGGTATTCATTACTGGCTAATCTAGCTGCCAAATGGTAGGGCATGTCCGTGACCTGCTGCAGCCATCTTTCTCTGCCCTCCTAGTGGCTCTTCTGGAGTAACAGAATCTAGCTGAAATAACTGGATTGACTTGGTCACATTAGTAGTTGCAGCCCTGGACCCTGGGCACTGATTTCCTTGCAGCCTCACTAAGCCCTTTATGTACGCTGCTGTCACTCTGTGTGTATAAAGAGGAGAAGGAGCTGATAAAGCCATGACACTTAGATGTTCAGCAAACTGGGTGCCCAGCAGAAGCACCAGGTGCAGTGCTAAGAACTAAGGTGTTGCTTTAGCATCAGAGTAACAGAGTAGTACTAACTGCTTGTGCTCAGAAATTCCAGTGCTGATTCTGCAGCAACAGGCGTGTGACTTGCCATACCAGCTGCTACATACACATAATTATCCTGCTCTTGAACCCCACTAACAGTTTAACTTGGAAACAGTTTGCTTTTATTGCCTTCTCTAAATAGCTCTGCTGCATTATACTGTGAAACTGTCCCGAGATTTACCTCTGCAGGTAGGTGACTGTGTTTTGTTCAGAGATTAATTGGGTGCTGAGACCTTTTGCAAGTAAATGTATTATCCAAGCAGTAAATGGTTCATTATTTTTACTGTATCAAACTAGAGAAAGAACAGTAGCATTTACTTACTGACTTGGTGATTGCTTGCTAGTAATCATAATCCAAAATTAGAGAATTTAAATATTAATGATCAAGATTACTGTGTGCTCTTTTTCCAGTATGAAATGTGAGTATGTGAAATATTTTATCTACCTAATTTTTGAGCCAAAGAAGTAAATTCCACTCAAAATAATCTTGGAACTAATTTCTTTATGATTTTAAAAGGAGCCACGAAAAATGCCACAAAGTCCTAATTGTTTTGCAATTAGAAGCTTTCTCTCAGTGGAGTACTAACAGTGTTACTAGGTAAGCATGAATTGGGAAAAATATGTGAATTGAAAATTACATTTAAGAAGCAGGGCTCTGAGAAGACCTAGATGTATAACTTTTCTCTTTTACAATTCCATTGAAAATCCTATTGTGGAGCTTAATAAATGGAAAAGCCACAACCACCAGTAGCCCTCATCCAGGTGATTGATCAAATGCTTTTTTTTTTTTAATTCTAAGAAATGATTTTAAAATTTCCTGTTTGCGTATCTCACTCAAAAAACATTTCCTTTGTTTATTTAGTTGTATTATCTAACTACTAAATACTGCTTTTACTCACAGCTTTTACTCATACTGAAAACAGCTAAGACTGAGTGAAATGCAGCTTATTTATTCTTTGTCAACAAAGTCACTTGTTAAACATAAAGCTAGTTATCTGTACAAGCTCACTGAAGGCTTAGGTAGTTATGCAGAGGAAGGAAGGAGCCATATTCACTTCCAGTCCCTTTGGCTAAGCAGCGAGGGAAATGGTTATCTGTGAAATGAATGCTTGCTCTGCAATCATTTGCTCCTGCTGTTCTGAGTTCATTTTTCAGCTCTGCTTTCACGATCTGTTCAGTTCTTCCTTCCACTGAAAGCCTTGGGAATTTTACTCTTGATTTCACTGGAAAACAGGGCTGTATCCTAATTATTTTGATTTAAAGAATAATAAGTTCAGTGGTTCATGTAAAATACTGCATTCTGTAGCTTGCTTAGTTATAACTGACTAATTTGCATCTCACAGAAGTGCTAGTCATCTCAAATTTTTATTATTTGGAAGAAACCGGGAGGAGCAGAACAGATTCTCAGACAAGAATTTCAGTGTAAATCATTTCCGCTTTTTGCCGATGTGTTCTTTTGGGAACTGATGAAGTAAAATACTTTGATGGGGGAAGGAAAATGTTGTGTGCATTAATCCTGTGAAAAAGCTTTCTTCCTTCCCTTTGTCTGAACAGGTAAGCATCTGAACTTGCTGTGAGTTAGTCACAGCAGATGTGGTTTGGAGAAAGGGGACACACGCCGGCCTGGTACCATTGCCGAGATGTTGGCACCTTAGAGGAGGGAGAATAGTTGAAGTGCAGAAAACCATTTCACTTCATTTCCACCTGACTCCCATCAACCACAAGAATACCTCAGTGTGGCATATTTGGCCCACATAGCAAATGTGAGCCTAAGAACACAGCGTTCTCTGGAGGGTGGTTAAGCTGGTCTTGCAAAGTTTTTTGATAGCACAATTTTTACACTGCTTTATATGTTTCTGGTTATGGGCAGCGATGCGTTCTGACACTTTCTGTGCACATTATGAGAAGAGCTGGCTCCGTCTGATCATCTATTGTACGGGTAGGCAGCTTTGTGGAGGGGTGCTGAAGTCTTTCTTTTCTGCCTTGACAGGCAGACCCTGTGGAAGGGCGCTGGAAGGCCAACAAGAGATGAAGCTGTCTTGAAACTACTTAATGGAGTCTTTAACAATTAGAGCAGAGTGTGTTAAAACAAAGAAACTTCTACATCTGAGGTGAACTACTGGGTGCCCTTATTGCGGTGTATTTATGCAAACAATAAATAAACTTCATTAACACACAGCAGGATATATAGAGGTGGTAAAGAAAAGCATTCCTCGTTTCATCACTGCACCAATAATCAGTTTTCTAACACAAAGTGGAGATTTGTGAATACTCTTAGTGATGTGAAATAATGCTAAAGAGTGGATGAACCAGGATGCCTGAGAATGAGCTCCTCTGTTTTTTCTTGCAGGAATTCTGCAGCAGTGGGTCATGGATGTTTCTGCTATGCACTGATGCGTTCCATCCCAGTTGCCATCTACATCGTTTTGGTAACAGGCCTGCGGTACCACCTGTTCATATGGAGTGTCTTCTCACCAAAGCTGCTTTACGAGGGAGTGCATGTGTTCATCACAGCCGCTATCTGCTTGTTCTTTACAGCCATGGACCAGAACCACTCTCAGAAGGTGCAAGACTGAAAATAAGTGTGTAGCACACAGTTCTGTACTGTGATGCCTTGTGTGTCTCTGGAATGTAAGAAGGACGACAGTGGCTTCAAATTGTTGTGCAGAGTGTGAAGAACAATGTTGTGTATTTTAGCCAGTTCCACATAGGGCTTGAAGGGCTTGTCCCGTGTTACACAGCTTGCTTTAAAAATGCTGAATTGAAATAAACTGTTTTATCTTATCATAGATAATTTTGTTCTTTAGCTGTCATTATGACAATGCCTGCATAACTGAGTTGCAATATTACATGACAGTCAATTTTGCTGTATGCCAAATATCAAGTTGTATTTTTAATATGTAACTTGGAGAGATATCTAACACTGATTTTTTTTTTCCCCAATTCTTTAACGATTTGGAAGCTAGATTTAAATGAACTTCCTTGAGCTTTAAAGAAAAATACTCTCTTTGGTAAAAAGATGAGCACTGTGTCTCATATTAAGTCATTCTTGAGCTTCTGTTTTTTTTTAATCAATTTTTATGTCTGGCTCTTTTCACTGACTTGGAAGATGAAGAAGCAAAAGTTCATTAAATGCTGCCCCCCCAAAATCTTATAACCTTATATAAGGGTTACCCTAACCCTAAGTCAGAAATATGTGTGTATTTGCAAATGTGAATGTGGTTTCTTTTTTTCCAAGACACAGACAATGAGAGATTTTTGTTTCACACATCTATATAATAAACATGTAGGAAGAAGGCACTCTTCTACACTCACTAGTAAAGGCAGTGAGTGTAGACAAAAAAAAACACCAAAACGCTAAGTGGTTTAATCATTGAAACTTGAAAAAAGGCCTAACTGTTCAATGTTTTTGATTTAATTAAAATAATTGCATACACATAAATGCAATTTGAATTTCAAAAGGTAGTTCTTGATGTAGGTATGGAGCAGCTGATCACAGGCACTGAAAAAATATTTTGCACATGTGATTTCTTTTTTAGCTTCTTAGACTATGGCCTCTTAAAAATATGCAAGATGTCTTGTTGCTGTTCAACAGAGCTCATTAGCCATGAGTTTTGTTTTGTTCCTTGTGTGTATCGAACATATAATTAAATAATTCGTACAGATATCTCAGGTAAGAGGCTTTTTTGCTTTTTTGTTGTTTTTTTTTTTTTTGTTACCTAGACAGCATTTTTATCAAAGGCAATATTTTCTTCCTGAGTGCAGTCATTAACTGTGATAGATTTCCATCTGCATTTTGTACTTCATGCACTGGATGAGAAACACTAATGGACTGACAAAGTAATGAATCTTCTATAGACTTCATTTACTGCTAAAATATTGCATTTCTTTTTATCAACGTTTAATTGGTAATCCAGCTTGGTGGCTGCTGCACTGAAGGTTTGATCATGTTTTGTAGTTTGGAGAGTCGTAAGCCATAAGCAGGGGCAAAGCTCAGTGGGCTGAAGTACCAGAGGGATACCAGGTGTGTTTACATCACCTTCCTCTTAGTGCCATATGTAGCCACCACACACTCTTAGGAAGATAGACACTGATAGCTATCCTGATCATCAGGATAAAGGAAGGACTGATCATCAGTCTTTACTTTTATTTTTCCCCTCGTGTTTTTGTCCATGTTAGCAACCATTAGGATTTGATTTAAATATATTAGAGGTGTATCAAAAGAGGAGCTCATGGGGAAATTCACTGTTTGCTGAAAATATGAAATTAAAATGCTTTTAAGCCTGAGGTAGGTGACAGCACATTTACAAGGATCACTTAGATGGTTTTCATATTATATCTCAGCAAGTCTCTAAAAAACAGTTTTCTGGTTTTTATACATGGCACCTATTTTAATAATAGGCCATTCTGATCACTAGTGAAATTTTTTCTGAACTGTATGACAGTAAAAATTCAAGAGTTCTGGCTGTGTTGTGCTGTTCAGCTATCTGCTGGATCTGGAGCATTATTCACTGTGACCTCTTATGAGCTTGAAAATTCAGTGTTTTAGATAAATTGTTTTTCATTTAACTTGTGGATATGACGGATGGAAATCACACTGCAGCAGCAGGGAAAGCCAGAGGAGGACACTGGGGCAGGAAGCACAACATCACAATGGAATATTGAAAATAGTTTGTGTTTGGCATGTCCTACACTTGTACCATGTTCATCACTCTTAGTAATTGTCTGGTAACTTGTTGCCTAGCAACAAGATGGAGATTATTAACACCTCTGTTTGCTTGGTTAAGTCCTGAGCAATTCCTAATGCTACTATAGAAGGTGTATCTAATTGGTTTGCCTCAAAGGCAAAGGTGCTAATGACAAGATGAGAGGGGTTAGGGAGAAGGTGCTTCTGGGGTGCAGAATCCTAGAACAATAGGGGATTCATTGGTTACATTCACAGTATACTTCATTCCTTACTAATTTTGTTTGCTGTTCCTAGTTGTCTATGGGACACTATCTAACACTTGGGTCTAAATTGGTCTGTGTATTAATTTTGAATTTCTTTGGATTGCTTAATTAATCATAGTGTCTCCTTTCTCCTCTAAAACTGAAAAATATTCATATCATAATCCAAGAAGAAACAAATGGCCTGGAAGAACTGTTATCTCAGTGTTCAGGATAGGAAGGAGGAATTTTGACCACAATTCTGTGAGGTGTTAATACATGAGAATAGATAATACCCCCAGAAAATGGCGCTTTCGGCTTCAAAATCATCAGTTTTCTTCTCCCTGACCTTTGTCTTTGAATATCGGCAAATTAAATTCTGTTTTGACTCTTTATCAGCTCTTGGGCTGCATACAAGGCTGGGGCAGGGAAGAAATGAGCAAGTTCTCACCTCAGGAAGATGAACTGAAAAATCACCTAACAAATGATTTTATTTTTTAACAAAGTTTTGTCAATTCATGTGAGATTGCAGATGATTTCACACAGGTTCTCACTGTAACAGTAGTTAGCTTCTCCTCTCCCCTTCTAATTCCTGCTGCCCTTATCATGCTGATCTTCTCCAAAGCCCTCAGACAAAGAGGAATGAGTGATGTGGGAAGCAGCAGTGGAACACGAACAGTTTCTGCTGTCCTGACTGTTCTGGTCTCTCTGCTGCCCAGGTTCTCTAGTCTGCAGCTTCCTCAGGAGTGCTCTATGCACAAGGACAGACTTTTCTGCTGCAATCAAGTTTTGGCACACAGTAGCTTCTTCCACTCAGTATCTTTACTGGTCAGAGCTGTGTTCATCCAGTTAATGGAGACCAGCGTCTTCCTCAGTTTTGGTCAGTCGACCAAAAAGGAATTCCTCCTACTCGTATTTCACATAGTATACCTCCATATTTCTTCTCTGTAGAGAAAGCCAAGTTCTCCACATAAGCCAGCAGACCACTGAAACTGTGTCCCAGCCCTTAGAGCAGGCAGCGGGCATGCCACTACGCCACTCTCCCGTGTGGTGCTGCCAGTAGAATTTAGGGCACTTTTTTTGGAATTCCTCCCTTAAAACATATGCAGATGGAATTATACTTGTCTCCACAACTGCACAGTCATAGAATAAGAGGATGCAGCAGATGCAACCATTTGGAGGAACTTGGGGAGACTTCTTCTGGAAGAGCCTGAAGTTTGAGCCAATGGCAGCCCTGCTCCAGAATGTTGTGCTGCAAGATCGGGCTCACAGGCAGAGAACAGCTCCAGAATCCTGATGAGCAGCAAGGGATCCTGATGTGCATTAGTGAGGGGCCCTGCAGTCTTGGGGGCCCACTATGGCTTGGGCTGCTCTTGCAGAGCATGGGCAGACAGTGCGTCAGAGAGGTCCTTCCCACCCAACCAGTAAGCGCAGTTACCAGAGGGAGCTCTGCATCCAGTCTGGGCACTGATTAGTGAATGCAGGGGAGGCCACAGGGATGAGGAGGCAGGGAGGTTAGATCTAGATGATTTTTGAGGTCCCTTCCAACCCAAGCCATTCTATGATTCATTCTATGTGGAGGCACTGGAGCATGACTTTCCAGCAGTAAGACCGAGTGTGCGTTTCTGATAGACACACACCAGCACAGTGCCGTGCTGCACACAACCACACGGACTAATAAAGAAAGCAGAGATTTTCTGACACCCACATAAACACAGAGCACGTGCAAAATGGTGAGCAGCTCTGGCAGCCCAGACCTGTTCTTCTCATCCAGCTGTTGAGAACACTAGGAACACATGGACACAAACCTCTGTCCAGATGCCAGCAGCAAGGCAAACATAACATGTACATTTACATTCAGCTGGCCATTTTATCCATTTTTTCCTCTGTTTTCCCACATTTGTTCCTTTCCAAGCAATCCTGACAGTTCTTTTTCAGTTTTTTCCCTAAGCATCACACAATAGCTCTTGTGTGTTCTCTCAATCCCTTAAAAATATCCCATAATATGTTTTAATGAGTCCCCATGTACTCCTCCCATCATGTCCCATTATGAGCCCTTCAGGTAGCAGCCTCCTTCAGTATGCCAGCAGACTGGTTTCTCTGATCAACTCGTACTGATGAGCTCCAGATCAGGGGCAAATGTCTAAGGGCTCAGTGAGAGATTAAATTAATAGTCAAATGAGTGATTAAGCAATGAGGTTGGAAGAGATCCTCACCGTGTCCTTGTTCATCTGACCTCTCCAGTCCTTGTGTTAACTGTGAACAGTCTTTAAAACCACTTGAATTCACAGAGACCTATGCTTTGTTTGGCAAGGGACCCTTTGGGCTGCCACCAGTTTGCAGGGCAGAGGAGACTCTTCTCAGAAGTGGATAGGGACAGCCCCAAGGACAATAGGCATGGGAGGCAGGGTGAAGCAGTGCAAGGGAGACAGAGAGATCTGCTTGCACAGGAAGGGGTTTACTGACAGGAACAGGGCCCTTGCCTCCACCCTTGTACATCGCAGATTCATTAGGGTTTTAAAACACCACTAAGATCACCAAGTCTAACCGTCAGCCCATCCCCACCATGCCCACTGACCATATCACTCAGTGCTACATACACAAAGTTCTTGAACACCGCACGGACGGTGACTGCACCACCTCCCTGGGCAGCCCGTGCCACTGCATCACCACTCTTTCTAAACAGAAATTCTTCTCAATATCCAACCTGAAGTACTGCTGGTGCAACTTGAGGCCATCCCCTCTCCTGTTACTGTTACCTGGGAGAAGAAGCCAACCCCCATGCTGCCAGGGCAGGTTCAGGTTGGATACTAGAATAAATTCTACTCTGAAAGAGTGCTTGCTCGTTCTTCTTTACTTTCCATGTGTTATGTACAAAATGACACAAGATAAATTATGAGATGTTTGAGCCATGGTGTGGAGGCCTGTGCTAAGATGAGAAATCCTGTAAAGACCAAGGAGCCGTTTCAAGCTATGCAACTTTCAGATCAATCTCTTGAATCCTGGACTGATTCCTCATTCAGCTTTTTAAGACTCACAGAGTAGGGAAGAATGGCTTGTAAATACTGAAACTATGATTTCAGGTATTTTCCTATTTGCAGTGGTTTAGTATAATCATAAGTGATGTGACTTCCAGAATACTCTCTTTTTTATTCCTTTCTTCTCTCCTCATTCTTTCTCACTCACACTCTTTTTTTCTTCCTTTTTCCTCCTCTTTCTTCATTCTTTCTCTTCTTTTAATCTATTTGCTTTATTCAGATCATCTTGAAGTTGTTAGAGACCCATCTCTCTCTCTTCTTTCTTTTTCTCTCTTGAAGTTGCTGAGTAATGCACGACTTACTTACATTTCTTGTAAAATCGTGTTGTTTAGCCTCACAGCATAGGCAGAACTGTAAGAGTGCCAATATTTTAATGTAATTGTAGTACAGAGATTCTTATTAAAACTAATGATTGTGTTTGGAACTTGAGTATTAATTTTACCTTAATCTAACCAGAGGATTTGCAAATCTGGTCATCACTCCCTCTCTTCCAAGTTGAGACATGACACTCTGAGGTCAGCCAGCTCCCTACTGCATTCTGCCAGGCCTTGGTGTCCCAGCATGGCCCCCTGAGCCTCAGGAAAGAAACATATTATCCACAGTGGTGTGACAGGGTGTTACTGCCTCAGCTCTCCCTGGCCAACATGGAGCCACAGTCACAGAATGTGCTGCCCTTGGTGTTCCTCGTTGCTACACAGGCT